TGCTGTGTAAGAGGTGGGGAGGGAGGGGGATGAAGCTGAACACTGGCTCACACTGGACTTACCCTCCCACTGGAATTTCACCTACACCACGACTATGTGTTTGGTGAAGCGGGTGCATGTGGTACAGGATGTCATTTCCTTCATGACCGTCCTGCACAGGAAAGAGGAGCTTAGCATCAGCTCTAATGACTGGCTGATCCTCTCTCAAATGGTGCATGTCCTCAAGCCCTTCTAGGACACCACCGATGTGTTCTGCACCCATACAGTCAGCCTGGGACAAGTCATCTCCCTGATCCAAGGGTTGGACCAGGTCCTGACTTCTGCACTGATGCCAGGCCCCGAGGAGATGCTTGTTCTCCCACAGGTCAGGGCCTTGGCACAGAGGTTGCAGGTGGGCATCACCACCAGGTTACATCCTATCTGCAAGGAACGGGAATACAAGCTGGCCTGTATCTGTGTACTCTGGATAAAACACAGCATTGCCCCCCGGAATGCAGAGCTTGTGCCGTGGAAGTATGAGCTCTGCAAAGAAGTGCAGAGGCTACACGCCAGCAGACATGGCCAGAGGGAAAAGTGGGTGGAAGAGGTTGGGGAACCAGTTTCGTGTAGTAGTTAAGTGCGTGGACTCTAATCTGGGAGAACCGGGTTTGATTCCCCACTCCTCCACTTGCACCTGGCTGGATGACCTTGGGCAAGCCTTAGTTCTGATAAGAGCTGTTCTTGAAAAAAGAGCCGTTTCTGTCAGAGCTCCCTCACCCCCCCCCCCACCTCACAGGGTGTCTGTTGTGGGGAGGGGAAGGGAAAGGAGTTTGTCAGCCGCTCTGAGACGCCCTTGGGTAGTAAAGGGGGGGTATAAATCCAATCTCTTCTTCTTCTTCTTCTCTTCTGGGGGGGGCGAGCCACAGCTCAGCACCTCTGCCTCAAAGAGCCCCACCAGGGAGAAGCCTCACTACTGGTTGTCAGTGGTGAACTGGGAGGTCAGCAGTGGCGGTACTGCCAGGCATGTGATGGCGGAGGATTTGGCAGAGGAGATGGTGAGGGAGTACCTTGCTGAGTCCCCTGAGCCTGCCTCTACCGATCCCCTGGAACACGGGTCATGCAGGGCTGCCATCTGGCCCGACCTCTCTGGCGTAGCCTTGTGTCTCCTCTCCTGCCCTCCCACCAGTGTTCAGAGCGAGTGGGTGTTTTCCCACCTGAGAGACGTTCTCAGATTTCAACGCTTCCACCTGGACCCAGCCAGGATGGATGAGTTGGCCTTCCTCAAGGTCTGTCTGCTGGGCCTCTCTGGACCTCACCGGGTAAGATTGAGGCCTCCTGTTGTTCCCCTGCATGTCCCCCTGTTCCTGCTCCTCTCTCGGTAATCCAGCATGCGGCCTGTGAGTTGCGTCCTTGGCACTTGGGTGGGAGGATGGCTGCCACTGCCAGGTGGGGGTGGGCTCCCTCACCCAAGATTTACCTTGTCACATGAGCTGGATGACCCCTCGTCGCTGTCACTGGTCCCCTGCTGCTCCGACCTATAAGCCACCGCAACCTGCCACCCGGGGAGTGGAAGAGGGGAACCCCAGAGGCCTCAGACAGTCGGGAGGGGAGGAGGTTACGTCACCACCCTCCGCTCTCCCTTGGCGTATTCAGGCCGCTCCGTCTCTCTCTCCCGCCCTTAGTGCCGCCAGTGCCTTCTCATCCTCCTCGGCCTCTGTTCCTGTTCCCCCTTTTATTCCTGCCCCGTGACACCTGCTGCACCCGAGGTTCCACCCACCACTCCGGCCCCGCCCTCCCTTCTTAGGATACGATGCTGAGCTGGGGGTGCGGTCTCCTTCCAGTTCCCTCTCTCCACCCCCAGCAGCTGTGTTTGCCCCGCATCCCTCTCCCTCCAGGCAGCTCGGGGCTGAGGGCATGCCCTCCCCCCTTTCCGGGACATCTCCCTCTGCAGCCGAGCCTCCCCCCCTTGCAGTGCGGCCCGGGTGCCTCGGAGGCATCTCGTCAGGTCAGTGCGGCTGGTCAGCTCCAGGCCTTGGTGAGTGCTGCTGAGGTCAGGGCTGGGGTGGTCGGCGGTTCCCAAGTCCCGAGCGGCGGAGGCCAGCCTTGGGGGGGTTCGCCCTCGGGACATACCTCATGCAACAACATCTACCTGATAACACAACACCTACCTCATGATCACTTTAAATTCCTTTCTGTCCTTCAGAACCTCCCTTTGGAGGCTTGGGGGGGGCTGCTAGTGTGGGGGGGTGAAGTGTAGTGGGTTAGATGCATGAATGAAACCTCGAGACTGATGTAGTGATCAGCATGGTTTACTGGAACACAACACAAACTAACAACAATGGCCGGCTGGCCAACTATATACAAACCAGGGGACACACCTCTGGGTCCCATTGGCAGGTTTAAATCTCCCGCCAAGGTCCCATTGGTCCCCCAAGGGAGGGACCAGGAGCCTAGTCCCTATTGTTACTCCGGATTCAAGCTCCGGAGTGTGCGCTGGCCTCTGGTGGCGGTCAGCGGACACAACAGGGGGATACTTGGCTTGCTTCAAGTGTGTGGCTGAGGGGGGGGGGGTCTGCCCAGGTGAAGTTTCCCTGTGAGTTTGGTGTCCCTGGCTTGTTCCTGAGCCATTCCAAAGTCTCCTGTAACAGCAGCTGTCTTTTCCAGAGAGAGCACTGGGGAAACCTTTTTGGGGGGTCCATAACACAGACCCCAGAAATGTGATCTGCCCAAACTTGGAGAGGTTGTAGAGGAGTGCATAGCAGGGTGAGGTTGCCTGTGCATTTGGTGTGTGTGGCTTGCAGGGGTCCATTCTATACACTTTTGAACCTGTGCCTGACATTTCCCCCAAAAGCACTTTCCTGGCTTGACCTTAGTCCTGTAAGTTTTGTACTGCCACAGTGGCACTGGTTCTGCTGGACTTGCAAAAATGCCCCCCACCTTCAGTTTCTACTGTAGACATTCTCTGGGATATTGATTCTGGGCTTCTATTGCCCTTGCCTTTGGGGAGAGGCTGTTTCCCCCTCCATTGAAGACAATGGAGGATGGGTGCACCTTCTTTGCTAGATTTGAAGGGTCATAACTTGGACCCCATAAATCCAATCCTAACCAAACTTGGAGGATAAGTAAAGAAGAGTCACCCAAAGGCCCACTGTAAGTCTGGTGTCTCTAGCTTTCACAGGATCCATTCTATACACTCCTGAGCCTGTATCCCCAGAAAACACTTCACTGGGGGCACTTTCTGGGGGTGTAACTCAGTCCCCATAAATCCACTCCTCACCAAACGCGGAGGTCAGTGTCAGCAAGCTGCCATGGTGTTCTGTGTTGCTTGTATCTCTGTACAGTTGCTAACCCCCCCCCCCTGTCTGTGCGCCTGTATTTTACTCTGCTGTAATGCCTAAGCCAAACAACTGGAGGATGTATTGGGGGAGTACGCTTTATTGCTGGCTTGTTGCTTTTAGAGCCTGGGAACTGCACCTGTATTATGTCTGGAGATAACCTGGTTCTCAGGGAATGAGCGCGCAACCGTTTCCTTTCACCCGCCAGCGGGAACGTGACCCATTGGTTCTGTACCTGTTTCAAATCCCTTTATTATGCTTGCCCTAACCGTTTGTAGTCAGTTCTAACAAAGAACGTGTTTGAGTGTCTTTCCAACGCTTTGAAATAAATTTTGCTTTTCTTTAAAACGTGGATTTATTCTCGATGCTTGGGGATCCAACAGTCAGGTAGAGAAGAGTCATCTGGAGAACTCTAGCAAGTTTGGTGTCTCTAGCATGCTAACGGTCCATTCTACCACCAGTTCGTCTAGTGTAAAAAAGTTCATGATGGTTCATGGTCCGCAGACCTTGCACGAACCATGAACCAGTCCACATTTTCCCGGCTCATGCCCATCCCTATCTATTTTCTCCAATATGAGCCTCCTTATATCATTTGCTGGGGAGCATGGGTGGGAGGATGCAGCTAGTTGGCTAATGTGTAGACAGAAAGCTGGACTAGATGGGCCCTTGGTCTGATCCAGCATGGCTCTTCTTATGTTTTGTGTCTCAGTCATGCTTTCCCTTCCACACCCATACCACACCCAGAGAAACATCTGTTTTAACACCTATTATGAAATGCCTACCGGGGATGTCTGGTTTGTGGATGTGGTTGTCCTCTCTGAGATTCTGGAATAGATGAATGGATGAATTGTTGTTTGAGTATTTTAATGTTGGAGAGGGTTTTAAATTGTATATTATGTTTTAATTGTACTAAATTATTTGATGTTTTTATCAGCAAGATTTCTTGCCATGTGAGCCGCCCTGAGCCCTACGGGGGAGGGCGGGATATAAATTTAATAATAAATAAAAATAAATAAAAAAATAAATATCAATCCAGCCCAACTGCTGTTCCCTGTTTCTTTAAATTTTAAAAAATGAAAATCTGGACCAATTAAAAAGTGAGATGTTTTACATGGTATTTAATGTTTTTAAAATGCTTGTTTGTATAGCTATTTTCATCCATTCAAGTGATAGTAATAAAGGGATCTAATATTATATTACAGTATAAATGTGTAGGTCATCCTCAACATTGTCATTTTGTAGGGTTGCCAAGTCATATTTACCTTTTAGCAGGGGGAGTCCTGCACCTTCCCAGGAGTCTTCTTACATGCACGCTTCTCGCGCGTGATGCGATTACGTAACCCGGAAGTCACATCATCGCATCGGGCATGTTGGAGGTGGGGCCTCCATAGAGTTTTCCCTCGAATGATAGAGCGTCCCCCCGCAATGTGCCTGACGTGATGACGTCATCTCCGAGTGACGTATTCACACCGGGCACGTCTCACACTTTGGGGGCAGGACCCTATCCGGGCCAGCGGGGAATGGGTCTATCAAGCAGAGGCTTCCCCGCCCCCCGGGGGGACCTGGCAACTCTATCATTTTGGGATGCTGTTTTTGCATGGAATATGTTAGTGTACAATTTTGTCTTTTATTCCTTAGGCATGAGTCCTTTTTTCCCTTTTCTCTTTTGGTTTTTCTTTGTTTTAGGATCCTTTTGTAGCATTTCACGTTGATAAAACTCCAGTGAAGAAGCACATGAAACAACTCGTGATTGGGGAGCTGGCACCAGATCAGCCCAGTTTTGAGCCCAGCAAAAATGTAAGTGTGCCTTAAAATTCACAACTGGAAGAAAAATTATAGCCAAGCAGAATTTCTAGTAACTCTGTGTAGTGCTGTACAAAACTGATTCCCATATAAGAATGAGAACGGTATCTTTTATAGGCTTCCTCTAATGTGACTATGGCCTATATCAATTTTCAGCAATTCTAACTGGGAAGGAAGGCCTAAACCCAGCTGCGAAGACCAGCCTAGAAAAGGGTATACATATGCTGTGATTCTCTGAATCCTAAGGCAGCTACATGACATATTTAAAGGCACAGGGGGGGAAAAACCTGCAAAATTGGATCTCTCCACAGAAATTATTAGTAGAGGACTTCCGAGAGCTACAGTCCACTGTTGAGAAGATGGGACTCCTGAAACCAAACCCATTTTACTTCCTCGTGATTCTTCTCCACATCTTACTGCTGGATGCTGCAGGGTGGTTTGTCCTATGGTACTTCAGGACATCTGTGACTACTTTTATTTTTGCTACAACTCTGCTGCTGATTGCTCAGGTAATTTTCCCAAGTGGTCTATGCACATTTATTTAGTGGCAGATGTATATCCTTCTGTTAAGCTCGTGCCTCGCTTGTCATGGACTCAAGGGTTAATTGCTTCTCTTTCCTTCTCTCTTTCCTTCTCTAGGCTGTTTATCCTTCTGACTAAAGGGGAGGGGTGATGGGAGTGTGTGAGTGTGTGAGTGTTGGCTTACGCAGTGCCTGGGAAATGCATGATCTCAGCGCCCACTTCGACCTTGGGTGCAGGGAATTCCTAGATAGTGCAATGACTAGTAGCAGATGTGGGGAGCAGTGTACCAAAGAAGTTTGGGTCTTTGGCGGGCTGAATGGGTAGTGTGCTGTAGGGGGGATGTCCTGCATAGTGTATAGGTTCTGTCCTGACACCCAGGTGTCAGTTCTGACACAGAACATGTCTACACTTCGAACCTGTTTCACTTCTCAATAAACAATTCTTGCTGATACAAGAGTGTGGTGAGAGTGACTGCGTCTGAGACCTGACACCTTCTTGCCTGGACTTGGATAGTCCAGGCTAGCCCAGTTTCATCAGATCTTGGAAGCTAAGCAGGGTAGGCCCAGGTTAGTATTTGAATGGGGGACCACCAAGGAAAGCCAGGGTTGCAATGCAGAGGCAGGCAATGGCAAAATCACCTCTGAATGTCTCTTGCAATGAAAACCCTACAGGGTCACCATAAGTCAGCAGAAACTCAACACCAATATATGGTTATATCATAACATTGTCTTCAAGTCATAAACAAGTCATAAACTAGGATTAGTAACCCCCCTCCGTCATTGGTGTTGTGCAATGCCAGGTCTATTAACAACAAGACTACAGTCTTTCAGGACTTTGTCATAGAACATCAGGCTGACTTGGCGTGCGTGACTGAGACCTGGGTGTGGGAAGGGGAGACTGTAGCTCTCTCCCAGCTTGCCCCACCGGGGTTTTCGGTCCTACACCAATCACGGACTAGGGGGCGGGGGGAGGAGTGGCAATATTTGTGTGGGAGGCTTACTCTTTCAGGGCTCTCCCTACGTTGGAGATTGTGGGCTTAGAATGTGTTGGTCTGGTGCTGGAGGCCGAGGAGAGTTTGGCAATCTGGCTGGTGTACCGTCCGCCTAACGCGCAAGCCAGTAGTCTGCTGTCCCTGCTGGAGGCCGTATCAGGCTGGGCACTGGAGCACCCTAGGCTTTTAGTCTTGGGTGACTTCAACGTCCATGCCGATGATGCAACCTCTAGCCGGGCTATGGACCTAGTGACGTCCATGGCATCGCTGGGACGCTCCCAATGTGTATCGGCCCCTAGGCATCAGGCTGGGCACACACTCGATTTAATCTTCGTGATGGGGATTACAGTGGACCGGATCACTGCGAAAGCAGTGCCATGGTCGGACCACTATGCCCTGAAGGCCCGTGTGAATGTCCCACCCCAACCCTGTATAGGCGGCGAGCGGATTTTAGCTCGCTCGCGGAGCCAGATGGACCCAGTGTGGCTTCAACTGGTTCTGCGGGATCCTATGCCCCCTGGCGGTTCGTTGGATGAGCTCATGGACGACTGGCATAGTTGACTTTCCATGGCCATTGACGTGATCGCTCCCCGGCGCCCTCTGCACCCTCGCTCTAGGCTGGCCCCCTGGTATACCCAGGGGCTGCGGCTGATGAAGCAAGAGCTAAGACTGTTAGAGAGACGGTGGCGCCGAGCCCGCAACAAGGCTACAAGAGCATCTTATAGGACGTTTATGAGATCCTATGAGATGGCAGTCAAGGCTGCGAAGGGAGATTTCTATGCAGCCAGGGTTGTGTCCACAAGCTCACGCCCAGCCCAATTATTTAGAACAATTCGGTCTCTGACGGCTCTGCCACAGGGCAGACAAAATAGTAGGGAATTGGATATTGGCTGTGAGGCTTTTGCGAACTATTTTTCGGATAAAGTCTTGATGCTCCGCCACGACCTCCCCACCACAGTTGAAACAGCGAACTCGAGGTCCCTTGCGCGTCTTCGATTCCGGGTTTAGAGTGTTTCAACCAGCTGTTCTGGATAAGGTGGCTGGATGGCTCAGGCTGAGCCGGCTGAAACTAAACCTGGCAAAGATGGAGGTCCTGTGCTTGAGTCAGACTGGACCGGGGTTGGGGCTTCCGCTTCCGACCTTCGACGGGGCACCTTTGGTGCCAGCTTCGGAGGTTAGGAGTCTGAGAGTGCTCCTGGACCCCACCTCAACGATGGAGGCCCAGGTGGCAGCCACTGCCAGATCGGCCTTTTATCATCTTCAGCTGGTACGGCAGCTGGTTCCTTTCCTCAACCGCAATGACCTAGGTACAGTGATCCATGTGACGGTCACCTCAAGGCTAGACTACTGTAACGCTCTCTACATGGGGCTGCCTTTGTCGTAAATCCGGAAGCTGCAGCTGTTGCAAAATGCTGTGGCCAGACTGTTGGTGGGCGCCCCTAGGTGGGAACACACCCGACCTGTACTGACAGCACTGCACTGGCTGCCTATAGCATACTGGATTTGCTTCAAAGTGCTTTAAAGCCCTACATGGCCAGGATCTGACATACCTGAGGGACCGCATTTCCCCACATATGCCCCAGAGAGCACTTCGGTCGGGGTCACAACACCGTTTGGTGACCTCGGGCCCCAAGGAGGCCAGGCTTGCAGCAACGAGGGCCAGGTCCTTTTCAGTGGCGGCTCCTATCTGGTGGAATGAGCTCCCGGAGGAGATCGGGAACCTGCGGGACCTTTTGCCGTTCTGTAGAGCCTGTAAGACGGAGCTCTTCCGCCAGGCTTTCGAGTAAGAGCAGCCACTGCCAGTACCACCACCGCTCCACTATAGAGCGATACCGCCAGAGGGCCGAGTAACATCTATCTATGGCCCTGGCCCTCCCCTTCTGGTATGCAAGACGTTGGGATCTTTCTATTCTTGCATCCTGATGGAACTGAATTTTAACTGTTTTACCTATTTTATATTGTATGCCCTTTGTGCCTTGTTGTAAGCCGCCCTGAGCCCGCTCGCGGGGAGGGCAGGGTATAAATATAAATAAATAAATAAATAAATAATAAGGGATATGTCCTAATTTTGATGTAGCTAATACCAAGTTTTCTGAATTACCTCTCTTTTTAAGTCTCAAGCAGGATGGTTACAGCATGACTTGGGGCATCTCTCAGTCTTCAGCAGTATAAAATGGAACCACATTGTTCATGAGTTTGTGATGTGCCATCTAAAGGTAAATTTATTGATAATCTAGTTGTGTTTTAGAACAAAGTTTGAGTCCAGTGGGGGCACCTTTAAGAGCAACAAACTGTTATTCAAGGCATGCACACGAAAGCTCACACCTTGAATTACTCTTTGTTGGTCTTAAAGGAACCATTGAACTCAAACTTTGTTCTGCTGCTTCAGACCCCCACCTGGGGGTCTTTGTTCTGCTGCTTCCCCACCTGGATCTAGTTGTGTTTTGTAACACTGGCCAAAGAGGAAGTATGAAATATACTTGAAAGGGATTCATAAGAATAACATTGTCACTAAAATAATAGATTCACAACATAGGGTACTGTTGTATAAAGGTAAAGGTTCCCTTGCTCGAAAGCCAGTCGAGTCCGACTCTAGGGTTGCGGTGCTCATCTCCGTTTCCAAGCCGAAGAGCCAGCGCTGTCCGAAGACATTTCCATGGTCATGTGGCTGGCATAACTAAACGTCAAGGCGCACGGAACGCTGTGACCTTCGCACCGAAGTGGTACCTATTTATCTACTTGCAATTTCTTGCTTTCGAACTGCTAGGTTGGCAGGAGTATACTGTTGTATACATGCCCACAATTGAACAATTTTACCTGACTTCAGCAGTTTTGATAGCTGCCACCCTTCCTTGAGAAGTGTGATTTGGCCACAACTATCCATGCTGGGATCATCATATCCAGGTTAGATTAATATAATACAATTTACGTGAGGCTGCCTTTGGAAAGGTGTTGAAAGCTTCAGTTGGTATAAAATGTGGTATAAAATTACGATTACAAGTTACAATCGATATCTCTAAAAAAGGAAAGAACTACACTGGCTCTTGCTTTACTTCCAGGCATAATTAGAATTGTTGGTCATGACCTGTAAAGCCCTTGAAGAGCCTGAGATCAGGATAATTAAAGGATGCCCTACTCTCATATGAGAGTCACCCATTAAGATTGTCCATGGAGGTCCTGGTGTTTGTGCTGCCATCCCCTGAAGGGGATGTGGCCAGTAGATGGCCTTGAACGCATATGAAGCTGCCTTACACTGAATCAGAGCCTTGGTCCATCAAAGTCAGTATTGTCCACTCAGACTGGCAGCAGCTCTCCGGGGTCTCAGGCAGAAGTCCTTCACATCATCTACTGCCTATTCCTTTCAATTGGAGATGCCGGGACTGAACTAGGAACTTTCTGTATGGAAAGCAGAGGCTCTTCCATTGAGCCACAGCCCCTTCCCCTCTCTGTGTAGTGTCTCACTGTGGAACTTGCTGCACATCGCCTATAGTGCCTGTATGTTCACTTTTTCCATGCTGGAAAAGATTTGGGGTTGTTGTTTTTTTGTCTAAGGGTGGAGTTTATCCATTTCATTTTTAAAATCTCTGACCATGCATCCTGTGTTGACCTTTTCAATTATTTTTATGCTGCTATTAATTTGTTTTACTGTTTTGTTGGCTTCTCCCCTAATAAATGAATGAGCAGATTTATTTCTTCAGAATAAGTAGGAAGTGTAAAACTTCTAAGGAGGTGGCTGTGGCCTGATTTCTCTGCCCCTGTCTTTGTCTGCAGGGGCTTTCAGCCAACTGGTGGTCTTTTCACCATTCCCAGCACCATGCCAAACCCAACTGTTTCCTGAAAGACCCAGATATTGAAATTCATCCCACAATTTTTTCTTTAGGAAAACCGCTTTCTGAAGAGGTAAGAAGTCATGGCATCTGCGGGAATGTTTGAATGAGATGGGGGGGGGGGTTTGGGGGGCAATGTTCCCTCTAAGCTGAGTTAGTGTGAGCTAGCTCACAGTTTTTTAGCCTCCGGGTCACACATTTTTATCTTAGCTCAGGGAGGAGGGCTCCAGAGCAAACGAATGTATGCAGCAGCCAAATCGCTTGATCACAACTTTGATGCCAGTAGCTCACAAATTAGAATTTTTGCTCACAGGACTCCACAGCTTAGAGGGAGCATTGGTGGGGGGTGGGATTATGCCAATGATTATTCAGAGTAGGAAATGGCACTAGTGTCCCTGGTTGACACAAAGAGTGACTCCGTGTCAGGTTCCTGGTTAAATCAGTTCTCAACACCAGCCAGTCTGTAGAAAGCTGACTTTATTGAAACAGTTGATAGATACCATCCTGGACACATGCATTGTTAGGACTGAAGTTAAACGTGCAAAAGCTTGTAGATATAGTGGATTCAAGTAAAGGCACTAAAGATCAGGACCCAATCACCCCACGGTATTTGCCCACCAGAACTAACCATCAGCTTCCCCCCCCCCTTCCCCCCTAGGCACTTAGCCTTTACCTAGTAAGGGAAACAGGATCACAGGTATTTGAGAAGCCAGGACATTTGGCATCGCTAAGGTGACAAGCCCTGGGCACTTCAAAGGGAGGGAGAGGAACCTCCTCTCCCAATGACAGGCGAGCTGTAAAATGCAAAATGCACAGGGAGCCTGACGCTCTGCTTGTTATTCTTGAATCTTAGCAGTATCGATACAGCACAGTACCAAATCCCCAGGTGAGGCAGCGGTAGTGGTGGTGGTGGGGCTTTAAGGGGCTTAGGCTAGTGAGCTGGCAGTGACTGCTCCTCCCAGACAAGGATACAGCTTTGGTAATCCACACTTTGGTACCCTCTTGCACAGGGTATTGTAACCAGGGTTGCCAATTCCAGGTTGGAAATTCCTGAAGATTTGGGGGTAGAGCCCAGGGAGGGTTGAGTTTGGGGAGGGGTGGGACCTCAGCGGGGATGTGAGGCCATACAGTCCACCCTCCAAAGCAACTATTTTCTCCAGGAGAACTGACCTCAACAGTCTGGAGATGAGTTGCAATTTGGGGAGAACATCAGGCCCCATCTAGAGGTCAGTAACCCTAATTGCAACACACACCACATAAGGCTGGGTTTGATGACTTGGAGCTTCAGCAAATGTCTCTTGACATTGGTCCATTCGGCATCCGGCATTCACGCCACATCTTCTCAGCACTGAGGAAAAGGTGCAGCTCAAAACCACATTCAGATACCCTGGCTGGGGCAACGCCTTACTGACTGTGAAGTCACCCCTGAATGGCCAAACATCTATGAAGAAGGCACCATAAAACCGGGTGAACAAAGAAAGTGAAGGCAGCATGCAGTGTAGAGGGGAGATTTATTACCTGACGTGGCTGTGGGGAAACTGCGGGGAAACAGATGGGTGCAGAATCAGCCAAGGTCTCATCTCAGGCTCAGCAGCATTTGTTTCCTGTTAGTTTCTGGGCCCAGCTTCTTACCTTTAGAACCTTACATGCCTGGGGCCTGTGTACATTAAGGAGTGCCTCCTCCCACGTGTACTCCTTTGTTCCTTGAGAATGATGGGAAGCATTGTTACATGTCCTGCCCGGAAGGGGTTTCAGAAATATCTATGCTCAAGCCTAGACATTGTATAGTGGCACCCACCTTCTTAAAGTGCCTTCCTAATTGGAGGTACATTGGGTGATCTCACTACTGGATTTCTGGAAGTTGATGTGGCCCTGTTCAGAAGACTTTACTTATTCACTAAGGGGTTGGTTATTGCTGCTGGAGGATTTTACTGCTTTATTATTCAATTTTGTGTCATTTAGGCTTTTTCAGCTTCATTTATGATGATTTTAGATGTTTCATTGTTTTTATTATTGTTAGTACTATGCACAGAGGTCATTTCAGGGGGGAACGCGGGGGAACGCAGTTCCCCCGGGTGAGGTATGGGGGTGGGGCACATGACAAAGCCCCGCCCCCTGCTTCCGGCCACCCCGCTTCCGGCCCTCATTCAGCCAGGAGGAGGCAGGAGAAGAGGGAGGGTAAGTTGCTTCCTCCCTGCCTCTCCCCACCCCTGCCTGCCTGGGGCCAGGGAGGGCCTTCGCGGGGCTTCCTTGCACTCCCGCCGGCCTTGCAGGTCCACCGCGGGGGGTGTGGCCTTATGACACACTTCCGGTGATGTCAGGGGGTGTGGCATATGCTAATGAGTTACGCTAATGAGTTCCCCTAGCTCTTTTTCTACGAAATGACCCCTGACTATGCAATATTGACTTTATGATTGTGATGCTCCTTCAGGAGTTACTTCGGTGGTAGGGAATGTGGTCTATAAATTGAAAATACGTGCCTTCACATTTGGTAGAATAAGATTAGGAACTCCTTTGCATATTAGGCGACACACCCCTAATATAGCCAATCCTCCAAGAACTTACAGTAGCCCCTGTACGAAGAGCTCTGTAAGCTCTTGGAGGATTGGCTACAGGAGGGGTGTGTTGCCTAATATGCAAAGGAGTTCCTGCTACAAAAAGAGCCCTGGAAAATGTATTGAAAACATACTTGGGTTAGGGTTGCCAGTCTCCTGATGGGAATGGGGGATCCCCTGCCTCTTGCTTCCTGCCACTGTTCAAAGCAGCCATGGGAGAGAAAATTAAAAATGGCTCTCAGATCAATGGCATGATGCATTTCTGGGAAATCCTGGAAGCGGCATCACACCTCCTAGGAATTGCTGATGATTCCTAAAGAGGGCCGATGTCCTTTGTAGGAATCTGGTGATTCCTAGAGAAGCATGAGATCACTTCCAGGGTTTTCCTGGAAGTGGTCAAGTCAGCCCCTGCCCACTGTTCCCTCCCCCTGGTCTCCCGCCGGTTGCCAGACTGGACTTGGCAAGCCTAAGTTGGATATAATAATTTGTAGAGATAAAAGCCAGTGTGATGCAGAAGATGGATGGGAAAATGTACTGCTTACTGTTAATGTTCTATTGGCAAAATACTAGGAAAATCTTATACTTCGCGACAGGGCTATTTTTGGACAGGAACGCACAGGAACGGAGTTCTGGCTGGCTTCAGAGTTGGCTACACCCACTACAGCCAAAACCTCTGCGTGCCTGGCTATAGAGGAGAAGGCCTGGAGAGCGACACACACCCCCGGGGACTCCAAGGTGGGCAGGCCGGGGGGGGCTGGAAGGATCGGGGAGGCATTTAAATGCCTCCCCATGCCTTCCCCGGCCTGTCCAAGGGCCAGCTGCGGGGCGCCCAGGCAAGCCAGGGGAATGAATGGGGGTATGGCCTAATATGCTAATGAGCTGTGCTGTCAGGGGTGTGACCTAATCTGCTAATACGTTTCTGCTGTTGGGTGTGGCCTATTATGCTAATGAGTTCCTGCTGGACTTTTTCTACAAAAAAAAGCCCTGCTTCACGACAGACAAGAAAGGTTTGGCTAATAATGATAATGAATACTCTTGCATATTTTGGATTGAAAGATCCATTCTATTGATTCTTTTTCTGAAATATGGAATGTTGTGCTGAAACAGAAATACATTAGAGGAAAATCTGGAATAGCAGTTGTAAGTTAGTTCTTTAGATCCACTAGTAATTTCTATGAACAGAAAGGAAAGTGACTTCCTCACTTTCTCAGTCTCACTGCAGTCCCTTTGAGATGCTTCTCTTGGGGTGACTGGGGACTTCCAGGAACAGTATGGGTGGGGAGGTCAGAGGTATGCCACAGGAAGGGGAATTGGCAGCTATTGCTCCCTTCCATCTGCAGAGATCCTCCATGGGATGCAACCCCATGGTTTAATTTTTGTTGAATTTTAATATACTTATATTTTTAATTCATGTTCAAAAGTTGGTTGATATGTCATTATTTATGAAATTACAAATAAGGGGGAGCTTTTGTTTCTGCAATAACTCTAGACCTTGGAGCCTCTCGATTACATAGTTTTCACATGGTGCATCATTAACTTATAGCATTTCTTACCAGAGATGGGGAGATGACCATTGGTTTAGGTGGCTTTAAAAGACAAATGCCTTTAAGATATGGTTGTTTGCTGTGCTAGCTAAATTGAACCTCCAGCTACTAGCAGGATTAGCAATCTGGGACACACATGCACGTGCGCATCCTCCAACTTGTTTGCTTTGGAACGGAGTTCAGGGTAGCCTATGGTAGGTACTTTCAGCTTATTGGCAGATAGTTCATTTTGTCCAGACCTGATCCTCACAGCTCCCTAATTCTTCTCTGACTCATGTGGCGTTTATGAGCCAGAGAATAATTGGCAACCCTACATCTCCCTCCTGGCACCATGGACATTGCACATTCAACGGGCCTAATGTACTCTGAGAAACATTGTTCGTAGAATAATGGGATATCTAACGCACTGGATTCCTCACAGGCAGCTGCTGAAGGAATGGAGAGGTCGGAAACATACTTTCTTGCCAGCACCTTCCATTGGCATTGTACTGAATCTGGCCCAGTTAAATTATTAACAATGGATTAGTTGTTACTTCTTCATGACTTTTAATCCTCTTTTTTACAGCTGGGCAAGCAGAAGAAGAAGTACATGCCTTACAATCATCAGCACAAATACTTCTTCATCAGTGAGCATCTCCACTTTTCTCACACACCCTGCTACCATCTTGCTGTTTCACCCTCTCAGATTATTGATTTTATCAATGCCCTGGTATCATCCTTCACCTTTGTTTTATCAATCTTACTTAATGTGTACATTGGAGATGGGGAGGGGAAAAGGCCATTTAGTGTTTGTGTCTGATACATAATCAGTTGTTTAAAAAAAAAAACAACTGTATCATGAGCAGAGGCCTCCTCTGTGTTCCTCACATTCAGAGGTACAATAGGAAAGCAACAGACAGTGATTTTTGTCCTTACAGTCTCTAACACCAAGCCTGCTAACAATATAAAAATATGTTACAATGCCCACCGACTTAAGAAAGACTCCCTGCAAGATTAAAAAGAGCACAGAGGCCTTTCCCCAATTATGTGCTAGTTTTCTACTTGCAGAGATTTTTTTTCATATGGGGAAACTTACTAGGTGTGCAGGGGTTTGCACAAGACTAGCTCATCCACACAAGCAGACTAAATGGCACAATTCAGGTGGAGGCTATCATGCAGGAGACAACAAGTCTTGATTCTCTCATTACTTGGCTCGGCATTTACAGTATGGAGCAGGGCTTATTTCCTTCAGGAGCGCACAGGAGCAGAGCTCCGGCAGTAAAGAGCCCAGGGGGCGGGCACATGCAACAAGCCCCACCCCCTGCTCCCAGCAGCCCTCAGTCAGAGCAAGAAGCAGCCAGGTAAGCTGCAGAGCCCCCCCAGTCCAGTGGCACCTTTAAGACCAAGTTTTATTCAGGTACAAGCTCTCCCTCCTCTGCGAGGACAGATCAGCACATCCCCCCCCCCCCAATAGCTAGCAATCCAAAACAGTCCAGTGGAGCCTGAGCGGTGGGTGTTGCCTTCTGACACACTTCCGGTGATGTCAGGGGGTGTGGCGTATGCAAATAAGTTATGCTAATGAGTTATGCTAATGAGCTCCTGCACCTCTTTTTCTACAAAATGACCCCTGGTATGCAGCAAAATGTTTTAGAATCCTCTGCATCATGTTTAGAAAACTCAGTTTGGGGGAGGTTGCTTTCATCGTGCCTGTGCCCAACTTCAGTTGGCAAATCAAACAAAGCTTAAGCTATTGCTGGCCAGTATGAAACTTAAATAAATTTTATCCCAATTATTTACACTTCACCTTTCTCCCCAATGGGGACTCAAAGGCTGCAATCAGACAGGTCTGGCTGCACCTCTAATTTGGTCTGGGTTTTTTTTTACCGGGAGAGTCATGGTCAGACGTCACACTGATCACCATGGCCACCAGCAGCTCCTCCATGGCACTGAGCTCGCCGCCGCCACTGCCTTCTTGCTGGCCTCCCACTCCAACCCCACACATCCATCTTGCCTCTCTTTGCCGTCCTGCCCATCCTTGCCCACTCACTCCTGGGCTTGCATAAGCGTTTTTAAACAGGCCTGGGGCAAATAACCGCTTATGCACTCATTGCTAAAAGGTTAAAAAAAATTGTAGCAAAACCAGAAGTGAGCAGTCTGACTTCCCAAAAGGCTTCACCCTGCAAGAGAGCAATCAGACATCCGCAGAAGTGCTGTGAAACTGGTAGGATCCGTAAATACCGGACTTTCTGTGGTGTCAGGAAAGTCGGGGGTGAGCACAGGGGCCTGACGACTGGGGAACAGGAGCCAGATGTGGCTGGGCGTGCATGTTAAATCCATTGGGGAGAAGCAACGGCAATGGATCAAACAGCTCGTCTGATCGCACCCAAAGTGGCATACACCATTCTTTCCTTCTCCATTTTATCCTCCTGATTTAGGTTAGGCTGAGAATAGGTGACTGGCCCAAGGTCATTCAGTAAGCTTCCATGGCAAAGTGAGGATCTGAGCCTGGGTCTCCCAGATTCTAATCCAACACTCTGTTCGCCACACCACACTAGCTGTCTCACAAGCAGGAAGTTGAAGCTAATCAAGGCACACCTCAGGCACAACTGTGTGTCAGTCACATCACATCTGATCGGTGGCCAAAACCCAAAGAAAGTAGGGGAAGCATCAGAGGGAGCAAAGACACAGTAAAGCACTAGTGTGGTATAGCGTAGTGCTTACAGTTTATCATGTGGGCCTACTGTGAGGTTAAGATGAAAGAGGACTTCCAGAGAAGTAGCCTCCACTACATTATGATAAGAACCTACAATAGTTCCTTAGCAGCTGCTCCATCAGTGCGACATCACACATTAGGGCTGCCGTTTCCCCAGTCAGGGTGGAGGATGCCCCGCCACCACTGGGCACTTCCCTGCCACCGGTTAGCAGGCAGCAGAGGGGGAAATGGCAGGAAATGGGGGGGACATCACAGTGTCACTCTCTATGCACCTAGAAGTGATGCCAGCACATCATTAGGGGATGCCGGGGACACTGTGGTCTGAGCATCCCTTGGAAACATGCTGATGTCACCTCCAGCTGCACAGGGAGTGTCATTAGTGCATCACTGGCAAAGTCATTACCAGCAAGGGCCCCAACCACCGGTACGCCCTCCCTCCCGCTGGTTACCTGGCCCTGCCTGGCAACCTTATCACATGTTGTGAAATTCTGCTGGCACTTCAAAGAGGTAGTACTGACATTCTAGCAAAAAAGGGCTTTTAAAATCACATTATTTATTATATTGATATTATTATTATTATAATTATTATATTTACATTATTTAACGAAATAAGCAGTTAACAGAAAATATCCATTTCAGTTTGGGTGTAAATTTAATTATAGGAAGTTGACATGTATGTACTGTTTTTCGG